GTTGTCATATCATCAACGTGAATACCGCAATATACGAATCTATTTTTTTCTATTGCATAGAATAAACACGGATCTTCTGTAGACTGTTTCATTCCGCATTTAATCATAATCTCTGTTAGAAATTCGTTCCAACATTTTCCGGCCTGTTTGAGACCATAAATACTTCTCTTTAATTTACACACCTTTTCTTGGTCTGCTTGGATCCCATCTGGTAGTTCCATGTAAATCTCTTCTTTTAACTTCCCGTGCAAATATGCGGTCTTTACATCGTAAATCTTCATTTTTCTCTGTTTTTGAGCAGATATACTAAATAACAATCTTATTGTTTCAGTTTTTACCACAGGAGCGAACGTCTCATCATAATCCACTCCAGGACGTTGTCCGCATCCTTGGGCCACCAATCGTGCTGTGTATCGCCGCTGTCCATTTGGATCTTCCTTGATGTTGAATACCCATTTGCATTTGATCACTTTTTCATTTTTAGGTCTAGTCACCGTGTTCCATACTTCATGTTTTTCCATTGATTTTAATTCTTCAAATATTGCCCGTTTCCAATGTTCCCATTTACTTGTTTGTTTCGCTTCTTGAATATTCTTCGGTACTTCATTGTCGATTGTCATCAATGCCTTCTGCTGTCCTTTGATTCTCTCAGACCTTCTAAGATTTCTGTATTCCTCTTCTTCCCCTTTTTCTTCTCTTATTTGTTGTTTTCGAGCTTCTAACATTTCTTTTGTAGTCCCTTTTGGTCTTCTTCGATTTTTCTTTTCCATCTTGGGTGTTTCTGTTTCCATATCTTCATTTTCTGTTGTGATGTCATCGCTCTCGTTTTCTGAAGAGTCTCCTTCAACCGCGTCTTCATAATCACTGCTTTCGTCTTCTGTTCTCGCATTTTCTTCATTTTCTTCGATCCCTTTTTCTTCGATAGTCTCATCTTCATCTTTGTACTCCAATCCTATAACTATTAATTCTTCTTTCTTAATTTTTTCAGAATTTTTGGTATTTAATAACTCACTTCCGTTCCTAGTCTCATCAAACCTTACATCACAATCAGCTTTTACTTTTCCTGATTCGGGAATGTATATTCTGTACGTATTGTTCATTGCATATCCAATAAATATTCCTTTAATAGCTTTGGGATCAAACTTTTTTCTTTGTGTTTCCTTGTTTAATAAATATGCTACGCATCCGAATCTCCTCATATACTTTACATTCGGCCTCCTACCATTCCAGATTTCATAGGGGGTCTTTCCATGTACTGATGTCTTGCTCCTATTTTTTATATGCACTGCTGTACACGCTGCTTCAGCCCAAAAAACTAGCGGCATTTTTGAGTCTGACATCATCGTTCTTGTCATTTCTATTATCGACTTATTAGCTCTTTCTACCACACCATTACACTGGGATGTTCTTGCCGGGCTCAATTCGTGTTTTATTCCTTTCTGGCTGAACCACTCTTGTAAGTTCTTTCCTACGAATTCTCCTCCATTATCAGATCTGATTGTCTTTAACTTCATTCCCGTTTGATTCTCCTTCTGTAAAATTAGCTTCTTTAATTTTTCACCAGCTTCATTTTTTTCCTTTAAAAAATCAATAAATATTACTCTCGAATAATCGTCGATAATTGTAAATATGTATCTCTTACCGCCATATGACGATGGATTTATGGGACCTACTAGATCTATATGCCATAGTTCCATTATTTTACTGGTTTTTCTACCTGTTAATCTGGGATGCGCTTTACGGCACATTTTTCCTTCCACGCATGACTCACACTGACTTATCTCCTTGTCTGTTTCTTTTAATCCTGTCACTAGATCTTCTTTCTTCATTTCTTCGATGATCTTCTTGCTTGTGTGTCCTAGTCTCTTATGCCAAATGTCCATTTCTTCTGTTCTCGCTGCTTTTTCATTTTTTATCACAGACGATTTGACGTAGTATGCATTCTCTTCCCTGACGGCTGTCATTTTTATCTCATCCTTGTTCCTGTAAACGATGGCTCCGTATTTATCAAATTCTACTTTATAACCATGATCGGTGATTTTTGCTACCGATAATAAATTCATGTTAATGTCGGGTACACATAATACATTTTTTAACCGTATCCTATCTTTATTTAAATTCTGTTTTATTACTATTTCACCTCGACCATCAGAGGTTAGTTTTTTTCCTTCTTTGTCAGCCAAGGTAACGTCTCTTGTATCGTCCTCTATATTATCAAATACGACTTTATTGCTTACCATATGACTTGTCGCGCCTGAATCTAATAGCCATAGATACCCTTCCGACTTATTTTGTATTTCATGCTCTGGCCCATTATTCATTTTTGTTGTACTCACGTGTGCTCGATCTCTTACTGTTAATACCGCTTCCTCTGAAGTTTTTAATGTACTTTCATTATACCCTTGACTACGTCCTCTTCCTCTTCCTCTTGAGATTCCTCTAAATCCTCTTCCACGTGAAACGTTTTTCTTCTGTTCCTTGCATTCGACCGCGATGTGATTGTATCCCTGGCAATTAAAGCACTTCTTCCTGTTTCGACATTCGCTTGATGTGTGACCTCTCATTCCGCAATTGTAGCATGTATAGTCATTTCTTGATTTATCTCTCGCTCTTCTTACATATTCTTCTTTCGATGTTTTTTCATCTTTACGTTTATCTCTTCTTATTTCCTCTTGTTTTAACGCATATCTTATGTCGTTTATGGTTAGCTCTCTCTGTGTTTCTAACACTCGTACATTCTGATCGAATTCTGATTTTAGTCCTCGTATAATATACATCCTCAATTCGTAATCCTCTATGTTCTTACCAAGTTGTCCGCATTGGTTTCTCAAAGCCTCCGCTCTATTAACGTACGCATCTACACTTTCGTCCTTTTTCATTTTTATATTTGACAATTCACTTAATGATCTCGCCTTCAACTGCTCAGTTTCCGCTGCCATATTGCTTTTAATTAGATTCCATAACTTATTTGCATCTTTTTCGTGACTGTACTTCAATAGTTGAGCTTTACTCATCGTGTTTATCATGACTGTACGTGCGGCGTAGTTATCATCATCCCATTCATTCCATAGCTTAAATTTTTCTGTATATCTTTCATCATCTTCATCTGGTTTGTCTATTGGCTTCACATTCATTACTTTCTTCCAAAGTTTCTTGGCCCTCAGGATTCCTTCTATTTTTTCGCTCCATAGGAAATAATTTGTGTCGTCAAGCTGTTCCACACTAGTCAAGTTCCAATTTTCAGCCATATTGAAAAATGCGTCTTTTTATCCTCGAGCAAACTCTCACGATATTCGATAGCCTCACACGGATACACTATGTAACCACGCTCTGCTACCAATTGATGAGGATGGGTGGCTATCGATAAGCAATATCTCAAGAGATTAAACTACGAAATAAGATAAACTCTTTAATGTTGTGAATATACGATACAATGCTCTCGTGTGAATATATGTAACAGTGTATTATAGAGGATCAAGCAGTAAGTAAGAAACGTGCCCAGAGTTGCCAAATTTAGAGTCACGTCTCGTACCGCCATCTACCAAATTTAAGATCGTTTCCTATTGGTCTATGAATCATAGTGACATTTATGTCTGCTTGTCTATACCTATGAACATAAAAATCTTACATGTAAATAATAAAAATAACCTCTCACATTAATAAATTGTAGTAATCATATACTACTCTCATATGTGCAGTTATCGAGCAATAACTGTAGGAAGAAACCGATTCGCTTTTTAATAAGCAAATAAAAAATTATTATAAAATTACACACACATGTATATGTATATGTATATGTATATAATTTAATATTATTAAAAATGTCATTAAAAATTATTGTATGTATATAATTTTAATATTATTAAAGACATATTAAAAATTATTACGATAATTATATATATATATATATATATGTGTGTGTGTGTGTGTGTGTGTGTAATATATATATCTAAAATGTCCTCTATGCCTCTTGATACACACCGATCGCCGAGAAGATATTTCGGTCGCTTAACATTTCATTCGGTGAAACGAGCTACGGCTATGCGACACAACAGCGAGTCAGGGAGAAGGATTCTCTCTCTCTCAGATTCTCTTTCGCTGTCTCGTTCGCTCTCAGCGCGCCAAAGGCGAACAAGGAGAGAACGTAGTGCGACGAGGACAGAGCGAGTCGGCTGGCTTCTACTACCAGAGTCACACGTACACGAGCTTGTGCTTTTGTGTGTGCTACCGGTTGCGCCAGGGCGCCGACCAATGGCGCTAGTCGCGATGTCATAAACCATAACAGAATTGGCATCTCTGCGATAGTCCTGCCGGACCATGCGTTAAATTCGGCGAATCGAATGATAAACCCACGTAATCGCCCGGTTCGCACGAACGTATCGCATACGTGTAGATTTTGCGGAACGCGTTTTCTAGCCAGCGAACGGTATTCTCACCTTCGGGTATTGGACGTATCACGAAACTAGCCTCTCTCCCGAGCATGCCGAAATTTCTAAAGCGTCGCAAGTTTTCCGTCCGTAAATCTACGAAATTAAAATTATCATCAACCTCGTGTTGTCGCTGAGGCTGCTGTTGGTGATGCTGCTCCACGTTGTTTATAGGGTTTTCCTCCCTCTTGTTTACCGAAACAACGTTAGCACTGCCGCTACCATCACCACCACCACCACCAGATTCTACTGAAAGATTAAGAAAATTTTGTTATATATATTTCGATATAAATAGAATAAATTATGTTGGAATATTAGGACTGATTGCAATGCTTGGAATTCCAAAATTTTATAACTACAACGGCGTTATAAAATTTTATTTATTTTTTAAATGTGTAACCGGATAATGAAGAGAAAAAAAGTGAAGATATTGTGTGTGTGAAAATTGAAAACATCGCAAACAGACCTTTTCTCACACCCCCGATATAGCGACTATATTTAGCATACTAAGGCAACTCAACTTTAGTTGCTTTATTCAATCACGCGAAATTATCCGGCTTTCGAATATTATTTCTAATGATTCAATCGAATCGATACCGGCGTGTATGAAATATCTAATAAAAAGTTCATACCTGAAAATACATTACGGTGAAAATAAATTAAAACATTTAGTATAGAATATTATTACCTTCAACATCAATGGGGTGGTCTCTAGCATCTTCTTCCTCCTCCTCCTCCCCCCACCCTCATCCCCCTCCCCTACCCCCTTTCATCTCTCCCCCTCTCTTTCCTCTCCCCTCCTCCTATATCTTCTCTGCCTCCTCCTCCTCCTTCTCCTCCTCCTCCTCCTCCTCCTCCTTTTCTTCTTCTTCATTTTCACGCGCTGTAAAGTAACATTTCGTTATTATATATTATATCGTATAAACTTGCTATGGGATTTTTTTGCCAACTATTTAAAACTTACCTCGTAGCGAAATATCATGGTATTCTTCTTCAACTGGGGTGAGCGCACGAAACGCTGCGATTTCCTGCAAATCATCTAAAACAAAAATTTTTTTTTTTCATTAATATTATATTTCTAATCACACAAAAACTGATTTTATAGGGAGATATGTTTTAAAAATTCGTCTAACCGGATGATAATATGATCACGGATATGTTCCGCTTATTACGTGGAATATGCCGTACGGCCTCGATTCGTGCTCTTCCTAGAAAATTTGATATTTTAATAGACAAAATACATAATTTAATTTTTAATTTTATTTCTAATTAATTTTTATTATTTTCCAACTTACGTGCTGGTACGACTTCATCGAGCGCTTCTGCAGCAGGGCGTCGTCGTCTCAAACTGAGACGACTTACCGGACGTCCCCGACGATGTGGAATCGCACGTCCTACAATACAGTTTGGTTCTATGAAATATTAGAATTTAATGAAACAAATTTTTAGTGAAATTTTATATTTGATTTTTAAAAAATTATATTATTGCTTACCTTTTACTGCAACGCGTTGCTTGAAGTCGGCTATGTAGCCTCCGACATCATCTTCTTCGTGGTCATAGAAGTCACGCACTTCCAAATGTCCCGAGATGATCCTCCTCAATCTCACATCCCCGCCACAATGCCCCAGCTTGTACATAATACAAAGTAATGTACTGGAGCACCTCCCCGCGAAATCCCCGAAAACCGAATAATTAGTTTCGTTATTATCTGTCAACTTTGACAGATAATTAACTGCTACTAACTTTCCGTTTAAGTTGCAAGCGATGATAACGAATTTCGTAAGTAATTCGCGAAGCGCCATTTTTACTGTTAACGAAACTTCGATACTTTAAAATTTCTAGCGCAAAACAACTCTTGTCAGAGTCTCGATGTAGAAATAGCCCTTAACTTTCTCACTACGCACTATTTATATATTAATAATATTCAAAAAAATTCCCCCTCCCAAAAGGCAGAATCGGTGAAAATTTCTGGTTATGTCATCGACTAGTAAATTTTGACAATTTTACCTATTGGTTCTCCAGTTTCCTTCCTTTTTTTTACATGAAAAGATTTTCTCGAAAAGTTCACAGAGTGAGAGTCGATAAAAACTTTTTTAGTTACATCCATCATATTTTAGACCTTTGGCGAACACCCTTTTTTGTGTGATCATTTTGAAAGCATCTCTTCATCATCACTTACCTTTGGAAAATTTTTGTAAATCAAGTGTCAGAATATTTTTCTTTATCTCGAAAACTTTTTTTAATTTATTGCTTCTTTATAAACGAATATTCTTGACAATATATTCAATTTTTACGAGTTCGAACATATTTATGACACGTTCGAACATTGAAATACCCTATGATCAGAAAGTAGCGGGAATTTTTTATTTAAACTTACCACGCATGCGGGAACCGGTTTATTTTTTTTTCTTATGTTGGTACGACCTTAAGACGCACATCTGTCATGTTTTAGCGCCATCCGATCATTAGTGTCTGCCTGGCGTTTGTTTACATCAGTCAACTTTTTTCAATTTGTCGCATTTCTTGGATTTTGCATGATAACGCGCCATCGCACCGAGCCCGAATTGTGCTGGATTATTTGACCAAACATCAAGTAAATACCATCGAGCAAGCACCGTATTCACCTGATATGGCCCCGTGCGACTTTTTTTTGTTCCCCAAGTTGAAGTTGCCACTTCGTGGAAAGAGATTTCAGTCGATCGAGGAGATCAAAGAGAATGCGACGAGGGAACTAAAGGCCATCCCTTCGTCGGCCTACCAGGGGTGCATGGAGGACTGGGTCAAGCGTTGGCACATGTGTGTTGCTTCAGATGGATCATATTTTGAAGGAGATAAAATAAATTTGCCTGAAATTTAACTCTATTTTGTTTTATTTAAAAATTCCCGGTACTTTCTGATCATAAGGTATTTCCGTTTTGTAACTATGAGAAAATTCTTTCCTAAAAAGTAACCATTTGCTCTGATCCCCGTTATTAATTTGGAAAAGTTTTTGTCACTCTATGGTATTCTTATCCTTAGGTTAATCTATCGCATACCTAATTTAACCTTTACATTTTTGCCACGTTTTTTAATTGAAAGGATTCTCACGTAAGATTACTTTATGACAAGCAAAAAATAAAATATTCAATAAAGGAAATTCATAAATCGCTTAAATTTTTGTTAGTTTTCCTTTCTTATACTTTTTGTTGTAAGAAAGAAAAATCGTGCACCCTGCAAACATATCTTTCTCCACTAAATGTTTTTGTCTTGTTCAATATTGTATAACTAAGACTTATTTTTATTTATTCTGAAAAAAAGTTTTACGACAGATACCGAATAATTTTTCTTTAGTGAAAATGTTTCTATTTTCTTAGAAAACGAATTTATTTAAATAATAAATTGATTTTGGACAGGTAAATTTTTATTTTTTCATACGTACCCTTAGTGTCAGCGAGAAACATTTCTATAATTTATTAACCATAAAATTTTTATAAATTTACCAGGTATGTAAATATGAAACCGGAATTTACCAATAGATGACCATAGCTGTCAATGTAGTTGCCGTCAGACCGCGTCATTGACGCTATTTCCTTGTTCTGACATCTGACAAAAATTTTCAACTCACAACAATACAAGTTTCATACAACAGTATAGTTTGTAATAGCGTTGAACATGTCGAATTTTGTGCCTGGAAACTACGATTTGCGGACAGCATTGATTTTCTGTTACCATTTGAAGAAAACTGCTGCAGAATCGCATCGAATGCTTGTCGAAGCTTACGGTGAGCATGCTCTTGGTAAATCACAGTGCTTTGAGTGGTATAAAATATTCAAAAGTGGCGATTTTGACGTGAGAAACGAAGAACGTGGAAAACCACCGAAAAAGTTTGAAGACATCGAATTGCAAGTATTGTTGGATGAGGATGACGCTCAAACTCAACAACAACTCGCGGATCAACTGAATGTGACACAAGAAGCCGTCCCCATACGTTTGAAATCCATGGAAAAGATCCAAAAGATGGGAAAATGGGTTCCACATGAACTGAATGAAAGACAGCAGGAAAACCAAAAAACCACTTGCAAAATGCTGCTCGTCAGGTACAAAAGAAAGTCATTTCTCCATCGTATTGTGACTAGCGATGAAAAGTGAATATATTTTGAGAATCCTAAGCGTAAAAGATCATGGGTAACTCCAGGCGAACGATCGACATCGACTGCAAGGCCAAATCGCTATGGACGGAAGACAATGCTCTGTGTTTGGTAGGATCAGAAAGGTGTGATCTATTATGAGTTGCTAAAACCTGGCGAAACCGTTAATACTAAGCGCTACCGACAACAAATGATCAATTTGAATCAAGCTTTGCGTGAAAAACGACCGGAATATCAAAAAAGGCAACACAAAGTGATTTTGCTTCATGATAATGCACCATCACACATAGCAAAACTGGTCGAGGAAACGATTGAGGCGTTTGGTTGGGAAATACTTTCGCATGCGGCTTACTCACCAGATTTGGCTCCGTCCGATTACTACTTATTTGCATCGATGGGACACAAACTTGCTCAGCAGCGCTTCACTTCTTACGAAGATGTACGAAAATGGCTAGATGACTAGTTTGGCTCAAAAGAGCAACAATTTTTTTGGCGTGGCATCCACAAATTGTCAGACAGGTGGGAAAAATATATAGCTAGCAATGGGCAATACTTCGAATAAAATATTTTTTATCATTTTCATGCAATAAACGTGTATTTTCTATTAAAAAATTCCGGTTTCATATTTACATACCTGGTAGTGTCAGAATATTTTCCTTTATCTCGAAAAATTTTTTCAATTTATTACTTTTTTATAAACGAATAATCTTGACAATATATTCAATTTTTACTTGTTCGAACACATTTATGACACGTTCGAACATGACATATTTCCGTTTTATAACTTCGAGAAAATTCTTTCCTAAAAAGTAACTACGTCATAACGTCGTAGTATTTCTAGATTCTTCTAGGGAAGGGGTAATTTAAACAAACTTTATGCGCACGCAGGTTTTCATTAATTTTCGAAAAGCATATATAAGCGCAGAGATTGCTTCTCATAGTGTTACGCTGCTTCATTCGAGTCTCGTTGTTCGAAGCGTCTACTTCGGAATCGTCCCTCCTAGTTTTTTTTCATTCGAGTGAAAATTTATCCAAAGTTTTCATGCGAAGAGACATGGCTGGAAGACAAGAAATCGGAAATCCCTCAGTATTCGTTAATCCGCGTGTGATAAACAATATTACCGAACGAAATATGCAACAATATTTGTTACTTTCTACGACGTACCCACTCAACTCTTCTCATACGAAGAAATTACACGTGGTATTACAATGAACGAAGGAGGGAATCTTCGAACCTATCGTCAAATTGACTGGCAATTATGTAGAAGGAATCAACTTCGATTCGAACACGTGGAAACAATTTCAAGTGAATATTGGACTCATGAGCACGTACCTAAGCGAAAACAGCAAAACCAAAGTAAATCCTATCTCATTCGCAAACATATTCATTAGCTTCACCTTCGCCTACGGTGCGAAAGCTATTCTGGTGACCCACAAGGAAAATGAAAATGTTCCAAAGGAAGTTTCATCCGCAAATACACAGGTAGAGTCAGCACAACCACCGACGAAGAAAAGAAAATCTTACTCCGTCACGATTGTAATGCAGCAAGCTACATTTCAAGGAATGGAGAGAGTAATCAAATGTGTCGATGCGCATTGTCACGAGTGCCATTGCACAAGTGACCATTGCATAAGCACGTATATATATATCAAAATATGAGTTATGGTAATAAGATAATATTAATAAATGCGAAAGAAAAGAGGAAGCGGAAGGCTGATATTGCGAAAGCGATTAATAGAACTCGGCCGTTGCATCCTTGATCGATAACCAGAACGCTGACCAGGAAGCGCTGATTCAGCAAGGACGGCCGAGAAGAGCAGGAGATAAAAAGAAAAGATGCGAAGCAGACGGGGGTCATTCGAGAAGTCAAAAGCGCGTCGCATTACTCGTTCTAAAAAATACTAAAAAGGTGACAACGAATCTAACTAAGTATTTACATGAGAGATACTATTTTAATAAAAAAGAGATTATAAAAAGTTATTCGGTATTGTGTGAGTTGATTGTCTGCCTATTGTCGTCCCCGCTGGATCCCGAATCCAATACTGTGTTACGCGGTATAAAAATTGGTGGCAGCGGTGGGATCCAGCATCGGAGAGGCGAATCCTGCAACATCTGTAACAAAAGGAAAAAGGTGGAGCAATCAAAAAA